TTATGTCTGTGTGTGTCTATCAGGCGTCTCACTATAAATCCTTGATGCTACGTGTAGAAGTTGCCTATGTTACTTAATGTATGGAAGGTTTTTGTGTTATGTATCAAAAAAGCTACGGGAACTTCTTGTTTGTCAGTGTTGAGTGCTCAGGTGTGCCTCTGATTATATGGACTGAGCCCCCCCCACCACCACCATCCATTTTCCAAAACACAGGTACACAACAAAGCAGGTAGTAATTGTTTAGAGGGTTGTATTGTGGTGTAATTATAGTAATTACACTTTGAAGAATAAACTAGATGGAATGCATGCGTCTTACTTTTGTACATGTGCAGTCTCACACAGTTTCACACCCACACAGCTGCAGACAGACACATGCCTTCATACACAGACACCTGTACTGGTGCCTACTGAGTGTAGTAATGAGAGGAACTGATGTGGAAGGTCTGACTCTTTGGCTGGCTGTGAAGTAAACAGCATCTACCTGTGTACCCCCCGTGAAGCACGTCTACTATCAGTGGCCTCTGTCAGAGACTAAATCTGCTGCAGGGAATCTCGGGAATCTCAGCTACGCAACACCTCTTGTTGCCACTCCTCCCTGCCCCGCTCACACACAGCCTGTACTTTGTTTATAAAAGACATGGGGGCTGGACACCCTTCACTCACAGAAAAGAAAGAAAACAAAGATGAAATACAGGTAAGAAGTCATACAGAGACATGCAGACAAGGGCTAGCGTGTGAGTGCAGACCGCCGCAGAGGTGGGGTTATTTGTGGAGCTGTGAAGGATTCATCCACTGAAATTTACATTACTGGAATTCCACTCATGTCAGCACTTAAAAGAGAGTTCTCCTGCTGCTCAAAGGAGACACATTAATCCTCAATAGGTGAGCTAAAAGAACAAGGAACCAATTTTAGAAGAGAGATGTCAACAGGTTATATAAACATGATGTCTTTCTGTCTTCAGAGTTCACTCTTCTGCCCCCAGTGACCTTGTAATTAAAGCTATGTCAGCGCATTACACCCTGTATCTCATCTGTCACTATAAAGGTAAAAAGATGATCCTGACCTCTGCAAAAAATGAGATGTCCTGAAATAAAACTTAATCCAATTTCCTGGGAGAAATAATAATGTAATACTTTGCTGATGCCTGAGGGGAAACTGCCTTTCCACTTCTGATTTCAAATTACCATGTGGAAGATACAACTGAAAACAGGTGTGTTGCTTTTCACATGAATCACTTTATAGCACAGGTGTGTGTCGCAGTCTTGGCAGAGTATTTGAATTCAGACACAGCCTCATCACACTTTTCCAAAGAAGGGAGGAAACATAGGTGCACCTTCTGCCAACCAAGTGGTGTAAAATTCTCTTTGCGCTTTGTAAGACTATTGTACAGTGGTGGTGATAATGATAGCATACATGCTGCTGCTTTCCTCAGCTCTGCTTTTACACTCGCAGCAGTCGGCCTCTTGAGCTTCAACAGAAACATTTTGTTTTCAGTTCTCCAGCTGCAGCAGCAACAGCGTCCCAGAGAGGGAAGGAAGCAGCTTCTAGAGTCTAAGTTTCAATTTGTGGATGTCTGACACTGTCTGGCTGATGCTACAGCTGTTTTGATGTCAACACTGACCGCAGACAGGTCGAGGTGGTGGATGGTTGGACAAAGTACTCTGCTTTGTGTTTTGTCTCCTCTTAAAGCTGAGACACTCAGACCTTTCTTAGTCACATGACTTAAATTGAAGACCTACTAACTGTGGGACTAGTTCTGGCCTGTAGCTGCCACTGAGGACAATGAGGTAGCGTCTTCTGCCTGTTGTCACTCTGCTTGAATTCGAGGACTTTTCTAAACTTAGGCAAGTTTACATTCTACAGTTAAAACATGATGTGGTTCATTTTTAAGGTCGATTCCAATATTTTTAGACTCAGTAAATACAGCACAGGTCTGAGTACCTTAAGGCCAAATAGCAGAAGTAAATAAATGAGCGGAGGAGTCAACTTTTTTCCAGCTTTTTATAGTTGACTGAACATTTAGAGAAAGACTTGAAACACCATTTACAAGCTTTAGGTTCTGTAATTTCCTAATAATTTCCTGGAAAAAAAAAGGTTACATAGGTATGTCATAAATTTCAGGGAAACTGGTGTGTTCTGAGAGTTACTTGATTTCCAGAAGACATTCCTCAAAAGAACTCCATGTGAAGATTTCCAAGAAAGTGTCATAAATTCAAAGGACTTTCCACAACCCACTCAGTTCTGTGTAGTTGGGGTTGGGCCCTGCACTAGATCATTACATCACTCACAGGTGTGTGTATGCACCAGCAACCTACTTGGCATTTAGGGACTTGGTGAAAACTTCTCTGTAAGGCAATGGGATTGCAAGAGTCCCCCTGTCAACGCTTCACTAAAATCCCTGACTCACAATCCCTGCAGGGCTCCGGGGCCCTTCTCCTAATGTGGGCCCCTATAATCAATAGCCCCCCACTGACACCTCAGTTGTGACTGATTAGACTTAACAGATACACATAAACAGTTTTAATGTTACCACACAGAAAGTCACTTTTGGCTTTTCCCATTTAGGGGTCGCCACAGCGAATCATCACACTGACGACTCGCATTTTGACATTTGGCACGTGTTTTACGCCGGATGCCCTTTCTGACACAACCCTGACTCGAACTGGTGAGAGCGCTGCGCCTTAACCACTAGCCTACCAGGGACGGCTCCCACATGCAAGTTTACATTTCTGATAAAACAGTCCCTACTCAGGGTCCAACTACTAGCCTGTCTCTCTCTCCATCTGTGGGTGTACTGGGGAGGGACATGTTTCTGCAATGATTTCCTCATAACTACATTAAACAGCTAATGTCAACAGCTCCATGACAACTGAGCAAACTACATCTGCTGATGAAGACATTGTGATAAGGTTGAAAGCCCTGGGAAATGTCAGTAAGTGAATCTTGAGTTTTGTCAAAAGCAAGAAGGAACTCTGAGGTGTACAGCTTTGTTTTTGCATCATATGTGATTGCTCTACCCACCACACTGTGGCCTCTCCCCATGCTTCTGCCACTTTCAAACTGTGTTTCACACACAAACAGCACATGCCTGTCATGCAAGGTGATACCTGATTGAAAATTGAAGATGGAGATGCACAAGCCCTCAGGAGCCCAAGTTCATAACTCTTACTACCTCTCCGGTGTCTCTGAGTCGTCATCAGTCTGAGAGGTGCTGACAAGAAATGAGTTAGTGGGCCAGACATTTGGTTCACAGGCATCAGTTTGCCTAAAACCTGTTCAGGTAGCTACAGGGTTTGTACATACCCCAGCTGATTGATGGCAGTTTGTCTCAAGTGTGATGTAGCATTGATTTACGACTCATAAATGAATCACAATTGAAATGTTTACATAAAAAAATTGTGCTGCTATAATGAAAAATGTTTAAACAGACTTGGTCGCCAGGAATTTTCCTTTGCATATTCCAAATATTTCTGCTTGATTTTCACTTCTCTTTGAGCAGGCCGATTCCGTACTTCCAGCAGGGGGCGCCAACTTTGGAAATGTTCACAACGGGCACGTTACTCACTTAATTTTGAGGATTTTGGTGTGAATTGAGTAAAACATTACAGTTGCAGCACTAATCTATGCTGATATTCTCTTATACTGGTTGAATTTACTACGAGGCTGCATTAGGACCTAATGAGCTTCTTTTGTAGCTGGAAAAAAGAGCTCTCAGTTCATGGTGATTTTAGTTTTAATTGCTTGCTGCACAATAAGCCAGACCAAAAAAAAAAAAACTTTGTACCTAAGTGTCATCACTGCCTGTAGCCAAAAAGGTGAGGACCTCTGTCCTCTTGGTATGGGCTCTGGCCAGCCCTATTTTGTAAACAAAACCAAAACTAAAACAAACATGTCACTGTTTCTTTATGCTAAGAGTTTGAACTATTAGGTAACTAAATCAGTGAAACACCAGCTAAATCCAAAGTACAACTGACCCTACAGTTTAGAAAATGAACTTTACTTACAGTAAATACAACACTAGCTATGGTTAGGGTCACATACAGATCCCCCGCCCCCAGGTGCTCATTTGCATCACTGCTTTAAACTCAGAGTGAAATACTTGTTTTCCACCAGGCGTCTGTGGCCCCGGTGTTTCTTTGCATGCAGGTGCACCAGTCCACTCCTCTGAACTATACCTGACCTCTCCGCCAACCTGTGTGTTTTTATTATCTCAGCCTCCTTGCACAGCCAGAGAACTGTATCGTTCACTGAGCGTTCCGTGGAGCTCTTCCAAGCCCATCTCTTTTATTTCAGTTTTACGTGTGCGTTACTTCCCCGTTCCACCGGGGCGTCAGTGGAGGCAGCAACAGGTTGAAGTGAAGGGCTTTAAACAACTTTGTCTCCTTCTTTTTTATTCCCCCGCTTTCCTTCTGCCTGCCCAGCGATTTTCTGTCTAATTTTCTCAAAGATTCAACCTGTGAGCACTTCAGGAACAGTTGTGCGTAAGGCATTTTCTTTTTCCACGAAGAAAAACAAAAACAAAAATTTTATTTCCTCTAGAGATTTCACAAGCAGCAAGAAAAGATTTTTTATTCCCCGGGACCGCAAATACGTTTCCCAAAAGGTTCAGTTTAGTGCACTTCCATTCAAACTGGAAATTACTGAAAGTTTTTTATGGATTCATTTCGCAGAAAACTGTTTAATATTAATATCAGACGCAAATTTCGGATCCAATAAAGTGTTGTGTTAGGAAACAGGGAAGGCAGGTAGTTCTAGATAGATAGATAGATAGATATCCTTAGATTTTAGACTAATTATCTTCATACCTGTCCTCTCTCGACCCCCCCTCGCTGTTTTTCCTTCACTGGCGTGGTATGGTGACGTCCAATTATAACTATATCACTCAATCGCTTCAATGGATTCGGGCTGGAAACCCCGCCTGTGGGCCGTCCCTTGCTGGGGCATTATATTATAGGAAGACAAGCGTGTCTCTCGAGACAGATCTGTATTGTACAGCTCCAGACTGAGGTTCACGGTGCCTCCTCACAAACACACAGACATTTCTGCTGTCAGGGCTGCTACACCTGCTCTGCTGAGGCAAGACTAACAGAGGAGACACCTGTGTGGGAAGATCATCCTTCTTTTTTGGGAGAATGAAACTTGAAGTCTTCTCTGCGCACCATTTCGTGCAGAAGCCGCTGGAGCTGTGCATGGACACAGATGGAGGAGTCCCATCTCCTTTGTCCGGGGACGAGCTGGGATCGGACGGGGACTGCGTGGCCAATAGCCCGGCACCTGTCACCCAGGGCAGCGACGGCAGCAAGGGGAAACCCTACACCCGCAGACCCAAACCCCCCTACTCTTACATCGCCCTCATCGCCATGGCCATCCGGGAGTCCAGCAGCGGCCGCCTCACTCTGGCAGAAATCAACGACTACCTGATGAAGAAGTTTCCATTTTTCCGTGGCAGTTACACCGGCTGGAGGAACTCGGTGCGCCACAACCTGTCACTCAACGACTGCTTCCTCAAAGTGCTGCGGGACCCGTCCAGGCCCTGGGGCAAGGACAACTACTGGATGCTCAACCCGAACAGCGAGTACACCTTCGCTGACGGGGTGTTCCGTCGCAGGAGGAAGCGCATCACCAAGGGGCCCCCCAAGGAGCAGGAGAGCCCGGACCTGCTCAGCGAGGACACTCGTCTTCCCGCTCCGGAGGAGAAGTTGGGGGCCAAGTTCTCCAGCTCCTTTGCCATTGACAGCATCCTCAGCACACCCTTCAAACGGAGGGAGGACAGCCATGTTGATGCAGACATCTACGCCCCCCGGCTCTACTGGCCTGCAGGCCCCCAAATATTTCCATATACTCTGAACTATCCGGCACAACACACGTACCTGTCAAAGGCGGCGTACAGCAGCACAGAGCCCAGCAGGGATGCACTCAGATACCTCCAGCACACAGCCCCGGGCATGGTCGCACCGGGGGTCACTTTCAAGGTGCCCAGCAAGGCGCGAAGTTTCCACATAGACTCTCTGCTGTCATGAAACACCCGGACTGACGTCAGACTTGTATGTTTTGACCCATGATGAGCACTTTTGCGGGGGCTTTTAGCTTTCAGTGCTTTAGCTGTTTAACTGTTTGGGACTCTGTCTCATCATGGCCACTGCGAGTGATTCTGCAGTGAAACAACAACAAACAAACAAGCACGGCGTGTTCTCAATATAGCCCTTACTGCGTGATGTCAAAGCAAAAATCTGCTGTCATCGCAGGACATTCCACAATGTGTTTGTGTCTGTGTGTGTGTGTGTGTGTGTGTGAGAGAGAGAGAGAGAGAGAGAGAGAGAGAGAGCGAGAGAGAGAGAGTGCGTGTTAGGGATGTTTAGAGACTGTTTGTATTCATGGATCACTGGTCATTTCTACTGTAAGACGGCAAGCGCCATGTAGAAACATTAATCTATTTATATTTCCATGTTTGTATGATCTGCTGTATAACATATTGTTGTATATATGTGAAAATAGTGACTGAGCTGCGATGAGAATCACGTGGCTGCACTAGAAACGCTTGGAGAAATATGTTTTCCAAAGATTGAGTCCTGCATGCCTGGTATTTTTATGAATAAAAACGTGAAACAATGGGACCCTGGTGTTCAATGACTCATTCATTACAGACATAAAGGAACAAGGTGTTTGTTAGAGGATCTGCAGGTGGACAGATCAGTGGGGCGGAAAAGAATGGACCCCACACCTGTTCAACAGCACAAACGGTGGAGCCAAAACATGAGGCAATTGTTTGTCTCAGTCTTTAGAAAAGTCCTGAATCACAAATCCTCCAAGTCAGAATAACAGAATTAAACTTTATGCACAGCATATTGCCTTAGGGCTCTTCTACTGATGCCTTACTACATTTTTAAATACTATTGCTCATTACAATACATTTCAATCAAGACAACAGTAAAAAAAAATAGAGCAGAGAATACAGGTTAAACATAAATACGCCACTGTTATTGATAATAATTATAATTAGTTATGCTGCTGTTATTTATTTGATCACACACAAACGTGTACCCAGCCCACGTTGTTGTATAAGCCTCCAAAATGCAGTGGCAGTGTGTATGTCAGACAAAAACACAAAGTCTGACACAAAAACTCAGTTGTTTTATAATGATCTGTTCAGGAACAGTCATCACAAAACATTCAAATTATTTTTGTGATCATCATATTTTATTTCATATGACTGCTCCACTGATATTAATAGCTCCACGGTTAAGTTCACAGAAATAGGTTCAAATATTTGGTGCTGCCTTGTTTCTACTACACAACCTTTTATCAGAAACTAATCACACGCCTGTCCACATCGTGCGCGTCCTGCTGCTCAGCAAGTGCAGTAATTTGTCCCGTCAACAAAACAGAGATGTCAGTTTCCCTGAATAACACCAGCTTCAGATTTACATTATGTTGAGAGACGTGCACCCGCCGTCGTGCAGGCCGTTTCCTGTTCGGGGCTCCAGTTGCTCTCCGCGGTCCTGAAAACACAGACCCCAGGTTTTAATTAAATAGTTCGTTTAAATTCAGTGCAACAGCGACAAACCACAGTTTGATTCCGATCCAAACTTTCAGTGAGTGCATCTAAAATTAAAGCATAAACAGCAATGGTTTGTTTTACTAATGGCCTTTAGTGTTTCACAGATTTTCCGGCACTAATTAGTCCTGTTTTATGTTCACAACTTGGTGTGACTTTGCTGATCTCCTTAAGGGTGTGTTTGTGAAAGTGTAAGGATACCTGTATCTAGTTAGAAGATGCAGCCGACATTTAGCGCCAAACCCAGGTGATGACAGCTGATCTAGAGCAAAATGATCGATGCCAGTGAATTAATCAAGGTGCGTGTACAAATTAAAGGAAAGTGAGTCACGCACTTAAATGCTACGTCTTCAGGTTTGGAAACAGGAGTGGATGCTTTTCACTTCACAGATGCTGAATAACCCCGGGACACAGCTGCTAGTCCAGGACGCCTCTGGTGCAGCAGGACGATGAAGTACAAAACCAAGTAGACTATCACAAGTACACATGTATATGTATAAGTAATAATAAGTTAATATAAGTAAATATACTTACATATATGTCGGTATATTTAAGTCAGCGTTGTAAATACGCTTTGGAGATGACAAACACAACTAGGCCTATGAACTGAGCAGCCCAGCTCATGTCCTTCATCACTCAATGAATCAGAAGCGGACAGTCGAGCGCGCACAGCCGTGTGCCAGGTGACAGGTGAGACTTTCTCCAGTTTGCAGGGACAATGCTGCAACCTGGAGGTGAGACGCCGGAACAGCACACCTGTCTGTGTGCCCGTCACATCTGTAATCAGCTTCCCTACTGTGTTTGCATCCGCGTTGTCATGACGCGCATCCTTCATATCCGTAAACAGCCTTTCTCTGCTTTTAGATTCAGCCGGTGTGTGTTGAGTGAAGGTGATGCAGCCTAAGCAGGAACTCAGGCTCGTTCCGAGGCTGACTAAGGCCCACAGTGTTATGAAACCAAACCTTAAGGGAGGCACAATGTTAGGAAGTCCAAACAGTCTGTCACTCCGGCAGACTGAACCGCGCCTGACCTCCCAGCGTCCCGGAGAGGGAGCTCAAAAGCTCCGGTCACCGCCACAGGAAACAGGCGGAGCGGCCAAAAGCATATTAGATAAGTGAAATACAGCATTTGATTATCTTTGTTTATCACAGGCCTATCTCATACATAAAAACTATAAAACATGGGATAAATAAATCTAACTATTAAGTCTATATAAACAGTGTTCGTGTTTTTTTAAACAGACTTTTAAAAAACATTTGCTGCTGATCATTTTTTATATACATAACAGAAATAAACGCCTCATTTTTATATTTAAATCTACCGTATTGCTAGCCTAATACACTGCTCTATTACTACACTATTCTACTTTCGTATTATTTCAAAAAGACCTGGTGGGTTACTCGAAGTCAGGACGGGCCGGCAAATATTTTCTCTAAATCTGCCTCATGCTTTATGGGGGATAAACAATATATCTAAGCCTAAATATAATAAAACAAACAGGAGATCTTGAGGTGTCGGCAGTAGGCTCATACGGGCCTCCAGCCTCCAGCCCTGACTGTATTCCAGAGACCAACTCCTCTGTCAGAAGCACCTTTGAATAACTTTCGTGGTGGCCGCTGATCACTTGATATTTCCAAAACGCTAAATTAGGAGCTCGTATAATCTGGGTGCGTAAGAGCAGCGCCGTCTTCAAAGCTCTCCCAGAACAAAGATTCCCTCCGCAAGCCAACGCATCCTGATCTCGACGGGGGTCGTACGTTTTGAAGTCGCAGGAAATTTCTGGGGCTGTTACGGTCTTCCAAAGTGCTCTGTGTCACGGTGGAAAATGATTTTATCCGCACATCCTTTGTTGTGCAAAGTGCAAAGGTTATTGTCGCTGGTTATTGTTTGGAAAATCCTCCAGGCTACATCTTGACTTAAAAAGGCCGTGACGCCAATCACGTGCACAGAAGCACTTTGGAATATGTGTAAAAATATGAACTTCTTTATAGTACAAACGTTTCACTGATTGTGTTGTGGTTTATGCGTTTCCCAAAACCCACTTTGTGCAGGACTTGTTGAAAAAAAGGAGGGCACGTTTATTACCAAGAAAAAAAAATATAACTTTCTATGCACATCTAAAAATAATAACAAGAAATCGCTTCACACACACACACACACACACACACACACACACACACACACACACACACACACACACACACACACACACACACACACAGAGAGAGACACACAACCAAAAAGCTCTCGGTGCCGTTTTGCTTTTTTCCAGAGCCCACTGACCTCCGCTCCGTCGCTGCACGGAGGTTGATATTACCTTTATGAGATACAGAACTCCATCCTGTTGGACAAATCTGTGTGTGATGTCTCCAAAGGGGAGAGCACTGTCGACGCCCGCTCGCCTAATTTCGCTTTTCTCTCTAATGAACGCGGGGCCCTTGGGACCGGCTCTGGCCCCGGGCGGTAAGCTGACACTGGCGCGCTGTGTGTGGTATCCAGGGCCGGGCTTGATGGAAAAAGCCTGCTTCCACTCATGTCAAAGTCATTTACTCAGAGCAACCCCCCACTTACACACGCACGGTAAAGACCACCACCTCTCCATCTCTCACACTCCTCGCCCCAGTCCGGCACCGCGACAGTTTGTTTTTGTTATCCTCTGGACCAGTTTGGAAGGAAATTATGAGCAAAAAACACAAATAATACAAGATGGTGCGTTTTTCATTGCTTGACCACGAAGCCTTTGAGTATTGTCTGCAGCAGATATCATAGGCCCGTGAGAATGTTTTGAACATCATGGTTTTAGTTGCAAGCTGGACCTTTTACACATATTGTGGTGGTTTATTCGTGTCAGGAAAATGTAATCTGCAGCACATTGTGCTGAAATCACAGCTTCATACATACAGAGCCAGAGGGGGAGGAAGCTCGTTTCTAACTTGTGCGGCTGGCGTGTGGCGCTGTTGATTGGGATGTTTGCTGGACGTTTGATAGATGGCTTAATTGCGTGTAGTTCGAACTTGGAGAATGGGGGTGGGAGGGGAAGAGAGATGGCGAAGAGAGGAGAGAATGAGAGGCTTTGACGCTGCTGAGAAGGGTAAGTGGACATGAGCCAGATTTGGGAAGTGGGTGAGGAGGGTAGGAGGGGGGTGGCTCCTATCGTCACTGATTTCTTGGAGATTTGCTGGCGCAGAGTGCGGATGAGAAGAAGGGGTGGGGGGCTCTTGCAAAGGAAAGAAAGATTTTTGCAATGATAGGTGGTCGAGCTTTGTTTGGCTGCACTGTTGTGCGCAATAACTCGGGAGGTTTTCGTGCTTCCTCCACTTGAAGAATTATTAGGAAGGTAGATGTCCACCCGTTGCGCCACGCAGCACCACTTAGCGCCGCTGTGACACCCAGTGGATCCCGAGTGACGAGCTAAAGCCCTGGACACTCAGTCTCCAGTGGATAACCAGCTCAACCCACTCTTCCTCTTCCTCTCTATGTTAGTGCGTACCCGCCGTGTCTTCATGCGTCAAGGGAGCACCGTGCGTAACGGGAGAGCCGTGCGTAACTGCAGAAAGATTTCACTCCATTTTGCGCTGGGATTCTGAGGACCACTGGCGGTGTAACTCTCACCTGCAAGGACACTGACCGCTGAATTCCGACGTACTTGTCTTTTGAAACATCTCAAAGCTCGTCTTTTCTCCCTCCCTCTCTTCTCCCTACGCGAGTCGTACGTCAGAGCTGACATGACGACCGAGACCCCTCAGCAACAGCTGGACCCTCCACCTCCTCTGAGATCCAGCCCGGTGTCCGGAGTCCTGCATCCCGCCATGCTGAGCCCACAAGCCGCCGCAGAAAACTCGTCCACTGCCATTAAAGGAAAGAAGGCGAGCTCCGGTTTAAGGCGACCAGAAAAACCGCCATACTCCTACATTGCTCTCATCGTTATGGCAATACAGAGTTCCCCCTCCAAAAGGCTGACACTCAGTGAGATCTACCAGTTTCTGCAGGCTCGCTTCCCTTTTTTTAGGGGCTCATATCAGGGCTGGAAGAACTCCGTTCGGCATAACCTTTCGCTTAACGAGTGCTTCATCAAGCTGCCCAAAGGGCTGGGCAGGCCGGGTAAAGGCCACTACTGGACCATCGATCCAGGCAGTGAGTTCATGTTCGAGGAGGGTTCGTTTCGTCGTAGACCCAGAGGCTTCAGAAGGAAATGTCAAGCTCTGAAGCCCATGTATCGAATGATGAACGGCATAGGCTTCGGCACATCCCTTCTCCCTCAGAGTTTTGACTTCCAGGCTCCATCAGCCACCCTCGCCTGTCACAGCAACAGCTACAACCTGGACATGATGAGCAATTCAATGGCCGGGGGTTACGACGGACTGAGCAGTGGCCACCACGTTCCCCACATGTCCCCGAGCCCCGGCTCCACATACATGGCAAGTTGTCCTGTGCCGCCTAATGGGGAGTACGGACCGGAGAGCAGCAGCAGCCCCGTACCGTCCTCTCCGGCCATGGCCAGCGCGCTGGACGGTCACTCCCCGTACGCCAGTACATCTGCACACTGGGCGTCCTCTGGCGGGTCCCCCTATGTCAAACAGCAGCCTCTAGCCTCCAGCAGTCCCGCGTCCTCTGGTTTACACTCCGGCATGTCGCCTTACTCCCTGGAGCAGAGTTATCTTCACCAGAACGGCAGGGGCAGCCATTCCACCGACATATCAGGTACACCAAACTCTTTACAGCTCACGCTCGCGATGGCGAACCACATCTAATACCTCTGAGAGCTAGAATAAAAAAGAATCAAAGCACACGAACCGCACAGCATGTCCACCTTAAACTCCAAGATGCTGTAGAGTTTCTCTCTGCGCCACGGGCCTACGCCAGTTTTTATGCTTTAAAAGACTAAAATCCACTTTTGAATATTATTTTTCATAAATATAACTAATATTTAAAATGAGGATGGCCGAGTTGATTTGAAAGACTAAATAATGCCAAAAAGCATTTTATAAATTTGTGCAAGGCCACTAATGAAAACATTTATCAACGATGTAGTTTTATTTGGATTTGCCCTCGTTATTTCTGTGTAATTCTATATTAACTTAAATATTGTGAGTTACAAAATAGACCAACAAAAGCTGAATTAATTACTAAAAGTACACTGATTATTTAATTATAAACCCGTGACCGTGCACTGCTAAGCTTGTTCAGTAACATAAAGGGTGACTAGGTTTAACATTAATTTTTTTGCCAGTAAACAAATTAAACCTGAATAACTTGTATTATTTCTACTTGTTTCATCAACGGTTTGCAGTATTTTCTAAGCCATCTCAGTATCGCACATCACGGGGCATTTGGCCTAATTAACAGATTAAGAAAAACTGCTATTTTGTGACCGCACCTCCCTGGTTCACGGTCATTTACTCTAACACAACACAGCGAGGCTTTACTAAAGTCCGGGGATTTCATCGAGGCCAGGAGCCCATGCTGGAGCCCGAAGGGGTCCCAGAGGTTAACTAAACATAGACTGTGCAGGTCGGACCACACCGGCTGAGGGATTCAACCGCCGCCTATCCACCAGAGATGGAAGCCCTTGTTAAGCTTTACGCAGCGTCTAAACTGAGCCTGTGGAGGCTAAATGTGCTGGATTGTGCAGTGCACGGCCGCTAACACTGCTGCCAGTCAGAAAGGCTTGTGTGTATGAAAACGGGCGGAGGGCAGCGAGCTGTGGCCCGCAGGATAAAGCCTGCTGTCTTCCCCTGAAAAATAGTCACATCTGGAGTCCTTATGACCTTGACGAAACCACAGCCTCCTCATTTATTTTTCTCTTTCTGGAAAGAGAAGCTCACTGATGACGGTCAGTGAATCAGATTTAACAGGTCTGGGCTTCTCCAGGACAAATGAGTCGTATAGATGATTGATGTTGGGAAGGAATCTGGAAAAAGAAAAGCATTAAATACATTTTAAAGAGCCTTAAAGGGCGTATTGACTTTCCAAACAAAATGAACGGTATTGTGCATTCACATCGTTGAAGGCGTACAGCAGGTAAATGTGCAAAAGATTGTTGTGCTCTTAGGTAAAGAAACGACGAGTTTCTGTAACTAAATGAATCCGAAAATATGCGAGGCCGTGACGGGGAGGTTTAGACTTTACTAAACAATAATAACGTGATCGTTAATTAACATATACCACTTCATCTCAGTCAGTTCATTTTGCCACATTATTAATTATAGACTCCATGACAATATCAGAGCGACCTTTGTGGCGCTTTTTAAAGGGTTGTCTTAGATTCCTTAGATTTATACATTTAAACCCACAACTAAGGTGGACACACGTCTGGTTTGTGAAACAGTGTAGGCTATTTTTTATTTTATTTTGAAGCCAGTTCACATGTAAAAGCATGAATTTCTGGTCAAAACAGACCATCTTCACCTCGCTCACGCTGTTGTTGCGCAGAATAATATATTACAAAACTCGGTTAAAAAAAATGGTCGGAATAAAAATATGTGTGCTGATGAATATTCATGTGTCCACCTCCTCTCTCTGCCTGCACAGTGGGGATTCCGCGCTACCAGAGCCATTCCTCGGTGTGCGACAGGAAGGACTTTGTGTTGAACTTTAACGGCATCTCCTCCTTCCACCCGTCGGCTGGCGGCTCCTACTATCCCCCCCACCACCACCACCACCACCCCCAGAGCGTCTGTCAGGACATCAAGCCCTGCGTGATGTGAGTCCTCCGCTCACTGTGGATTTCAGAGGCAACGACGGCCACAGTGAGACTGCAGGTCCGTCACACCAGAACAACAAAACGCACAGATTTGCTTTCTTTTTCTTGCTTTTTTAAATTTTGGAGCATTCATACCTGGATGCACCGAGGTGTCTGCTCTCACGTTGGCCTCTTCCCTGCAGCCGAAGGAGCTGAAAACTGTGCATTGAAGGAAATGAAGGAAGAAACCCCAGAGGCCTTTAGAGAAACCACTTCGCCTATATGAACCCTGACAAGCGTTTCCTTCTTCAAAAGAAGCTTCAGAAAAACGAATTTAAATGCGTTTGCTCTTGTAACACGTGCAAACAAATTATATTCAAACATGAACTTCAACAAACGTTGCACTTATTGTATAATCTTTGCCAACTTTTTGTCTTGTAAAAGGTTTCAATAAAGCTGATCTATATTTTAGGCTACACTCAGACTTGTGGTTCCATGGACATCCGTGTCCGTGACGTGGAAAACGTATTTCATTTGTATTAAAGGAGATATTCAGCGTGCACAGCGCAGAAACACGTTACAGTTACATTCTGCATATCGCTAATGGTTCATTTGGAGACATCTCTACTTTATTTGAGTATTTGTCATTTGCTGCTTCTTTATACTTCCCTGCATTTACATGACACCTCCAGAAGGAGATTTAACATGCAGCCATGTGGTCACTTTGCATTCTGCCGTTTTAAGAAGCATTACACAAACTACCAGTGGTGCACTTCCATTCATCTGGCTTTCGCACTGTTACGACATTAAAATACTGCTTGTTAATTCGTTAATAATTATCATGAAATAAAATAAGATACGTGCTAAGTCAACACTGACAGTCACCACCTGTGGCACAATGACTATTTTCACCGTTGACTCTTTAGGTACATTTTGCTGTTCATTCTGCTGAGGGCCTGAATGCAGGACTGTTACTATGGAGCGTTTTTATTCTACACTGACAGTACTGCTACTTTTGTCTACGTACAGGATCCGAATACTTCTTCCACCAGTGATGGTCAGGTGTCAGTATTACGATTTCAGTAGATGCGCAGGTGTGGCCATAATGAGGGTGTTGCACTGGTGCCGAGCATTAAGTAAACTTGCTTTAACTATATAAAAATACAGTACACAACTATGAGACAAAGTCCCACTTTTTAAATCGAAGTTAATATACACAAATACAAAAGTAAACTTAAAGGATCAGAGGTAAAGGTAGTGTTACGCAGCTGAATGGCTCCTGACAGTGCTGTATGATGGCAAATCACACCGTCATTTCTGATTGATTAACATGGAAACGAGATTGCATAAGGCAGAAGTGCAGTTTACTGGAAGGACTGGGGTTTGTTTTTATTAGATGGGTTTGTTTTGTATGTGAAATCTTAATCTGCAACGTAACTAATAACTCCAGAGGATCAAAAGTAAAATATCTCCCTGAGAAATGTATTGGAGTAGAAGTATAAAGTAGCACAGCTCAAACATACTTAAGTAAAATACAAGCACTTGTATAATGTTCTTAGTTACTTTCCCTGATTCAGGTGTTGATAGAGAAGCGATATGAAGAAACATCACAACTTCTGCACAGACTAAGCAGTACACAAAACACAGAGCCACGCAGGGCGACCACTGAAACACTTCCTCTGAAAGCTAGATGACAGCGAAACAAGGAGGCCCCTCAGTGTATCTGAGTTTTCTCAGTTTGGATAATTCCCAGCCTCCTCCAGCTTGTCGAACACAGCTGAAAGTCTTTTGCATCCTGAGGCTGCTCCTTTCCATGTGGACATGTAGGACTGCCAGCACTTGAAGACAACATATAAACAACTGAAACGACAGGGCCTGCATCCATGGAAATGCAAAAGTGTGGTATTTTTAGAGTGTGGTAAACAGATCAGATTCAGGGAAAGCTGCCTCGTCACACAAACACTAAGGAGAAACAGACATGGGAGGCTGCACTTGTGCTGCTTCTCCGGTTTTTGTCTGCATGGCTTTTGTTCATGCAACTAATGCAGCATCCTTAACACAGGCATGCAGATAGGATGTAACAGTGGCTGCTGTTTATCAGGCCACTGATGTCATTGCAATTTCCTAAAATTCTCTGTGGAGTCACTAGTTTTGCTGTAAACGCTGAGATGTTTGGCATCTGTTACCTCTGTGTTTATTACTAATTTAAACTACTCAGAATTTAAACATTTTATTCATGATTAATATCGATTAGGATATAAATATTCTTTCTTGAGTCAATTAAAAGTGACTGTGTAGGAAAACAGAGCAGCACTCCAGCAGTTTTAAGAGTCTAAAGGTTTACAAAGAGCATGTTTTCACATTTCAACTGCACAAAAAGCTACAGGTACAGCGGTTTTCACGTGTGATATATGCTTATGTGTTCCTGATATGCTGCCGAGAAAATGGAAGGATCTCTCAGCAAATTGTACCATGGAACAACAACATCATCAATCAAAGCTGTTGCTTGTAAGCAAGCTTCAGATCCAGATTCAGTGTCAGGACAACAGTGGGGGAGGGCCTGAGAATCCATGCTCATTTTACAGAAGTGGCCAACAACAAACACCAAATGCTACTATGAGAGGGAAGAAGAATATCACTGACAAGACAGCAGAGTCTTTCCTAATGACATGTCACACAAACAGGCCCTGCAACTGCTTTCCATGACAGGCTTTTAAAGTAATGAACGCTCAATATAGTGGAGTAGTGCGCCATCTAGTGACTCAAACCGTGCTACAGCTCTTTTTGCTGAAGCACGATACTGAAGAACACGTGATGCAGAAACTGGCCCATTTACACTCACTGTGCTCTGAGAGGCAACGGCTAAAATGACTAATAGCAAAGATCATAGAGCAACAATATAGGTGGCTCATTTACTGTTCTGCACTTGTACCATTACATTTTCACAACGGTCATCCACATTCAGGGCTTTGTAAAGACAGGTTGTCAAAGCAATGCAAAGAAAATGGTACAGTCAAGAGCAGATGAACGACTACATTTAGTGCCAAAATAGTTTGGGCACTTATTGACAGAAGCAATTTTTAGCCCGACAGTGAGGTGAAAGGAAAAGTTAGCAAATCCTAAATGATTAGGAACCGGTCTCAGAGGACCATAAACATTCACAAGAACTTTAGATGAAATCCATTCATTCGTTTTTTAGCCACTTAGTTTGGCCATCTACGTGGGCCCAGAATGAAACATCTACATATTGCAGCAGGTGGACTGCATTACATTTCAGGCAAACATTCACGGTCCCCAGCGCAATGGAGTCCACTGACGTTGGTGACCCCCTGACTTTTCCTCTAGTTCCACCATGAGACTGAAGTGTTTTGTTCAGGGTTAAATATCTCCATTCTGGGCTGGGATGGAAATTTGGTACAAACATTCTTTCATTTCCCATATTATACTAATGTTAACTGGTTTAAAAACAGTGACTATGGTAAACATTATTACCTGATAAACATCCACATCCAGGTGTGTGAGCATGTTAGCGTGCTGGCCATACAGTAGCACTTTTCCTCAAGGGTTGGACAGACAGAAACAAGGGAAAGCAAAACTAAGCCACTTCCATGTTTTATGGCTGAATCTAATCCACTGATGAAGCCTCTTGGATGAGAAGTGAAACGTCTTCTACCTAAAACTATGTCCTGATGATTTCTTCTATGTTTTTTCAGCATAATGACAAGACTACAGCTGAGCACTTTCTGTCTGATTCTGTGAGCTTGTTACTGGTTTCATATATTTTTTATACTATTTATTTTAAGGAACTACTGTAGGCTAAATGGGATTACTGGGGGCTCCTTGATTAATTGCCAGGACCTGGAATATTAAATTTTGCTCTGGCATGTGAATATGGATGTGCATGTGTACTGGAATGAGATCTTTGCCCTGCTGACCTTTTGAGTAGTAAGTAAATCTATACAGACACTAGCAGCCCTGAGAGGTTTCATGCTCATGCTGCAAGTACAATACATGGAAAGATAACTTTACTGTTCTTAGATCCTTTAGCAGTGGACACTTGTAGATGGCTGCTGAGGAAAGGTCAGGTATTCACAATTAAAGGTTTTAGTCTCTGAATACTTTCAAGCATCTCACATGCAGCTTCATCAGAGGAGGTTTCATCAGTTTAGGCTCAGATCTGCTTCAAACTGATTGCTAATGTTGGCATGCTAACAAAGCTAGTACAATACAGTGCAACTTAACTTATAATATTTACCTGGATGTCAGCATGCCAAAGATATGCTAATGCTAACATGCTCACAGTCAAATCCTGTAAAAGATTTTAGCTTGTTAGAAAGCTGCTGTGGTAGCATAACACCTGGCATGTAATCTTTAGAACTGCAACTGACCATGAAACTCTGTAACAAACTTCACAGCAATCCATCCAGTAGTTTCAACTGCATTACCCATGAACCACCTTGCTAGAAGCAATTAAATACGTGAGAGTCCATAGCGTGACATTTACCGGGGGTTGTGAAACCATGTTGCAGCATGTAGGAGAAAGTTTGTACGTTTGGAAAGTCGTGTGTAGCTGTTTGTTTCAGTGTTACCAAGAGTGCTGGTGTTTTCTTCATCTGAACTGAGACCAGTTACAAAAAGCAAGAACCTCTGGTAGTGATCGAGCACCATCTGCTGCTTTTCTACTCTTCCTCCCTCAGAGGTGGGGCCACAGTCTTAAAGTCTCCTCCTGCGCAGGCTGTTTTCATTCAACATCTGTCTCAGTTCAACTCAGTTCAGTGTCCTAGATCAGACATGCCGGACACCACGCTGCAGCTGCCCAGTCACACACCAGCTCCAACAAGACCAAGACATGGCTTCTGTCACGGCACTGTCCTCCTGCTGAGCTGTCTGCCAAGGACTTCTCCACCCGACTGACGGGTGGTGGCTGACAGCTTCTTGTTCCAGCACTAAGTGGCTTCTCTATGTCATGGTGAAGCTTCTCCTTTTTCACTTCACACACTTAAAGCTGGACAGCCCATAGCACCTGATTATTCTGTGATATATTTGCTGAATAAAACATTGAGCCTACATATACAGATCACTCTGAACCTGCACTATGAAACAGTTCACTGGAGCTGAAACCCTCTAAGTGGTACAGATAATGGATGGATGGTGCTGACTGTCCACTAGGGGGCAGAATGTGCAGCTCACAGAGACACACTGTCCCAATAGATCAGTTTTTAGGAGTACAAAATATAATTTCAGGGCCTGTAAACTAAGAGAGCGCATATTTGTTGAATTATTATGTCTGATATTCCTCTTAAATACAGAATTGAATTTATCAAAGTGCATCAGAGATATGGTTGGTAAATGGTCTCATATACAGTGGCACTTTTCTACACATTGAAACACAGCCAAAGCACTTTAAGCTATTTCTCATTCACCCATTTGCACATACAAACACTCACACACCTGTGACATTACTGGGAGGAAACAAAGGCTGAAGCCTGGGAAGCCGCCCGCCCCGGGTTAGGAGATGACCTGCTCCAGCCGCTTAGTACAAGCCCGGCAGGTACCTCAGATCTGCAGGGACTGGCCAGCTAGTGGTGCCTAGAGTTTGAAATAAACAAGTGCTTTTAGCTATTATACTGCCCACAACTGGATCCAGCTCCCAGTTCAGCTGACTGCACAGACACTGATGTTTCAGATTTCTGCAAGAATCTACACCCACCTCAAGAGTTAAAGTGTTTAGTCTTGGAAATAAGTAGAAAAAGGCTACAAAGAATATTACTTCTTGTATGTTTTAATCTAATTAGTATTCTAATGTTTTATCGACACAGTAGATATACAGTTTAATGTTTTATCTAATTGTGTGCATTGTGTTAAGCACTTTGAATTGCCTTTGTGCCTGAAAATATGCTATATAAACAAACTTGCCTTGCTTTATAATCATCACAGTTAGTTGGTTGTTTAGATGTTTACTGTAGCGTGGAAAGGCCCAGACAAACAAAGCCACCATCAGGGTTATTTGGCTTGTTACATATAGATTGTAAATGCTGCTAACATTTTAGAGACAGTGTCTGTTATTTAATATCTTGAAGATATTTATGATGTTACATCTTCCCTGTTTCCATAAATAGATCTACACATTTCGTTTGCGCAGCGTGTTTGTTAATACAGAGTTCAAATGGTGTACAAGTAAGAACAAAATGAATCAATTCATCAAAGGCAACTAAATCAGAAGCAGCTCAGTCTTAATGTGACATTTCAGTCCTTATTTGGGATTCCAAAGAAGTGCCACTCATTCAGCTGCCTGCATGGTCTTAAATGTCTCATTCTCTGGCCTTGAGAACAGATTTACCCTCGATGAATGTTTTGCACATGGATGATTGGCAGCTATTTATTTGAAAACCGATTCCAGTGTGCTTTTAGGTGCATGACCCTGAGGTCCTGGGATGTTTTGGAAATCTGTCTGTGTTTAATTAAGTTCTTAATATAAACGCTGCTGATGACACAGCGAGGACCTATAAACAACTTCATACTCGATCCCACAGGAGTGAGACTAAACCACTGGCTCATAAAATCAGTTCCTGCACTCGCTAACTGAAAATCGTGCATGTGCATCGGTGTGGCAGCAGGGGGCGCTATGCCACTGCTTTATGTCAGTGTGCATGTGATAAAATGACTTACAAGCTTGGGAGACTGGCAGCAACACAGACCACACATCCAGTGGTGATGATGACGATGACGATGATGACACCTACAAATGATAACCAGAAATAAAGTGTATGTCATATAACTGAGCTACAGTGACAGCTGTGAAGCTACTGAAGCCACTAAAGCCGTTTAGGCCTCAGGACTGCTCTAATGACAAACACGCACCATCGCCATCAGCGGCCACCAGGGGGCAGGAGTGTGTCATTTCTGAAGAGAACAGCTCCAGCAGCCGTTTCTGTTCAAAGCCCAAATATCTGATTAAACTCTCTTCACCATCAATGTATAACACTTTCACATAATAGTGTAATATTCACTATAACACTTTCACATAATAGTGTAATAAAGTACTAAAGTCATTTATAAAGAAGGTAGTTTTATGCCATGTGCGTTCTGCGTCTGGCTGTCAGTGACCGTGAGAGGGATGTGAACGGGTCCTGGTGTTAACAGCAGTTCTCAGACCTGTAGCAAATCACCCGAATAAAGACAGACTAGATCCCTTGAATCTGCCTCTGGGATGCAGGCACAGGTCCTTGCGGGTCAGGTGGTCCCCCACTCACCAGCAGGGGTCACCGGTCTCACGGCCGGTTCTGCGGCCCCGGGGCTCCCACAGGTGACGGTGCGCCCCTCCTCCCCCTACTCCGAGCCGGCACAGCTCTGACCACACATGCAAATCGCAGAACAAAGAGACCAAGGAAAACACACAAGTGAGAAACTGAGTCTTCTCACAGATTTTCATTGTTTTATCAGAATGTTCGAGTTTTCTTAATTTTCCCTCCCTTCTCTTCCGTTGTAACTACATATCTAGTAGAAGAGTTGCTGTTCTCCGGGAACATAAAGAAGCTGTGCTGGACGTGTTCAGCCTTAGGCCTTTATTATCTTTAGTAATCCCATCAGGCTTTCGGATCCACCTTAACACCAATAAATGCCATGCTTTTCCAAAGACGGTGTTAAGTTAAAAGGCAAAGTTTGCACACACCTGGTCTCCGAAGCGCACAGCCTTTATGTGGACTAATCCTCAGTGCGCGGGTCCTCTGCGCATTTCTGTCAATAAAGAGATTTGAGACATGTTTTCGTTTCGGATATATTTGTGGAATTTAAGGAATAAGCATCAGAATATGTTAAACCTGAATCCATGGACTTAAAAGAGAGAAGGGTCTCAAACATTTAATAAAGTCTATAAAACTGTTGTGCAACGTTTATTATTTTGCTTTGTACGAACATTTAAAAAAAATTAGATGTGACACCGAGTACACAGACCTACACCCCAGAGCACGCCAGCATTTACATCATTTACGTTTTCTTTATGCATTTTTAGAATTTATAAAACTGGTGAGGCCATCTTTCTTAACACAAATGCTTTAAAAAATTATCAAATGTATCTAAATATCTCCCTAAGAAATCACCAGTAAAAATCAAACAAACGTTTAATAATATTTATTCTATGCAAAATGTCTCAGTTTGATAATAAACATAACGTCGCACAGAGAGTTTATATGGCCTGTAGAGATGGATGAATGACTGTCTCCTGTCTTTAAAGGATTATTCCCATCACACTGAAAACACTAGTTATGTTGTTTTTGGCTTCTGCATTTAACACAACGAAACAGGCCTGAGAGGATGTGAGGAGACGTGGTGGCACTTCTCACACCCGCTCACTGGGAATGACATTTGGAGGTCTTCATCTTAGAAACACCTCGCACCCAGGGAGGCTTTTCTCACCCACCTCGGTCACATGAGCTTCCACTCGTCGCCCATCGGCGCTGTCGGGGAGCAGGGGCCAAGCACCCGCTGTCTTTAATGTCCATCTGTTGATTCAGACGCAGCTGAGGAGAGGTTCTCACATCCCGGGGCCTCAAGCTCGCTCTGCATTCATACCTCGGGTCTAACTGGAGGTTTAATAATGTTTAATAACACAAATGTAAAGTTTCCATTTGGGAAAAACGCCACATTATAACAAACATGAGGGATTGTACTAGTGAGTGGCGTTGTGCGGTTAATGTCGGCTGCTCTGTTTGAGATGGTTTTCACTTTTACACAGCTTTTGATATTTTACAGACGGATATGAGGCAGCACAAGCTGCTCCGACACACACGGCCCAAACTCACCGTGGCCTTCTTAAGAATAGCTTTACATACATTTGGTCATTTTATAGCTCCCCATATACATTTGAAATTGTTTTTAAAATCTAGCACTTTTTGTCATTTAGTAATAATCTCAGCAATAGGGGCACACCCTTCCCAGCATTTTAACAACTCCGTGTCTGAGCTGAGGGGAAGAGGAGGGCGGGGGGAGGAGGTGTAGTAACCTTTATTGCCATACAGCTTTTCCACAGGTTCATTTCGTCCTCCAATTGGATGATGGAGCACGCATACGGGGAGGCGCAGCCGCGG